AGAGAGAGAGAGAGAGAGAGAGAGAGAGAGAGAGAGAGAGAGAGAGAGGAGGGGAGAAAGACAATTTCGGGTTATATTATTATAATAATGTGGTCTACAGTCGATATTCGACTGCAAGGTTAAAATTATCCAGAAAAGTTTATACAAGTTTAACCTTATTTGTAATCTAAGTTTTCATTTTATATTTTTTACTTTTTAATAGAATGACAATAACAGCATCTTGAGTTTACCAAAGTTGAGCTGTACGGTACAGATATACCGACAAGAAACTCATTCTCCATGGGACTGTGATGGTGGCTAAATTAGCCTCTTTATAAGGGCGTGACTCATTATTATTTAACATAATATCTACAAATCAACTTCTTGAAACCGCGTGAATCGGGTGCGGAAATAGCAGACTTCTGGCAGCGGCAACCGCGGCTGCGGCTGCGGCGGCCCAGCAGGCGGCGGCGAGCGGGCTGGAGACTCACCTGGCGGTGTAGCCGCGGGGGCAGTCCACGTTGACGGCGGCCTGGAAGAGGATGGCCCACACCATCCAGAGCGTTCGGAAGAGAGAGAAGCGGTGGTTCTGGGGCGCCTGGAGCTGTTGCAAGGAATCGGACAGGTTTTCATGTATTCCGGGTGTATCTATTATAGTTACAGAGTATCAACTCATCATGAGAGAGTAATATTTTACCGTTTTTTTCGTAAAACGCAGCACTATTTTTGCTTTGCATTGTATTCGAGAGGTTGCGCACATCAAAAATGTGCTGGTCTGCTCGCAGATATTGACTTCGGCCTAGTCAAGTGGCGTAGCGTAATGCTAGTGCGTGGACCTTCAAGGAAACGTATTTACATCACAGGAAAAAGCTCGTTACGTCATGGTCTCATAATTTATTTACTCAGGGAGACTGCCAAAGAGCATTTATGAACATGAATGAGTAAATGCTCGGTCGCACGAGAAATTGGCCCGGAAAATTGATGACTCATGCTGCACCCGTTGCGTTATTTATCTTCTCTGCATTCGGTTTATGCAATTTATCAACATCAAAGGGTGTTCAGCATTCATCTTTAATCATCTGCCAATTCTAGATTGACTGCGTCAGTATGATATGAAGCAAGCGCTGTCTTCTTCTCCAGTATATCTGGAGGGAAAAACAGACACTAAAAACGTTATAAGCACAAACACACACACACACACACACACACACACACACACACACACACACACACACACATATATATATATATATATATATATATATATATATATATATATATATATATATATACATATATATACATATACACACACATACGCACACACAAACACACACACACACACACACACACACACACACACACACACACACACACACACACACACACACACACATATATATATATATATATATATATATATATATATATATATATAATCTTTTTCTTTCCTTTTTCCCCCTTTTTCTCTTCTTCTCCCTTTTCCTCCCTTGCCTTCCCTGCCGACTCACCTTCATGTTGTATCCCGAGGGACTGAGCCACTCGAACAGGAAGATGGACACGGCGGCCACCTGGATCGCCACCAGGGCCACCAGCATCCAGGAGGCCGTGTCGAAGGGCTCTGGGGGAGAGAGAGAGAGAGAGACGGTGAATCTGGAGGAAGAGAGATGTGTGGGGGGGGGGGTGGAAGGAGGGGAAGGGGGAGGAAGAGGAGGAAGAGGAGGAGGAGGAGGAGGAAGAGGAGGAGAAGGAGAAGAAGGTGGAGGAGGAGGAGGAGGAGGAGGAAGGGAGAAAGAGAAAGCGAGGGAGAGGGAGAGGGAAAGAGAGAGAAAGAGAGTGGGGAGGGCGGGGAGGAAGGAGAGGGGGTAGAAGGAGAGAGAGAGAAAGACAGACAGACAGACAGAGAGAGAGAGAGAGAGAGAGAGAGAGAGAGAGAGAGAGAGAGAGAGAGAGAGAGAGAGAGAGAGAGAGAGAGAGAAAGAGGGAGAGAGTGTTACCGCATCATGAATCGCCTTGCACTGCACACGTCTTTTTCAGAAGCAGATCAGATGATGGAAGCAATAATTGCAACCAAATCAGGGACTAGAACGGAATAATTGATTTCACTAATTTAGTCAGCTAAAAAATCCTGCCAATTTTATGCGACAACTTTGGAAATGAGACACAAGTTTCAGCGCGTCACGCCATGCAAACTGAACACGGAAGAAAAGTTACTCCTCCAAGTTTCGATATGCATCTTCTTCCTTCTTTCTCTCCGGGTCTGTCCTCATTTCCGCCCTTCTCTTCCTTTCTCCCTTTTCCTCCTCTCCATCCAACACTCCCCTATTTCCCTCTTTCGTTTCTCACCCTTTGAATGTCTTCCCCGCTGCCTAATCGACGCTGCGCTCGAGAACGATCGGACTCTCCCGCGCGCCTGCTTCCGTCCTGCCCGGCGTCCACCCCCCCTCTCCTCCTCCAAAATGTCCCTTTTATGCATTCGTGCTTATAACACGAGGTCTATAAAAGTATAGATCTTTATAAACCTTGTATAGACCTTGCATATAACATATAACACCCTTCCCGCAGTAAACCGCAAATGGCAGTTCCTGAAAGCCAACCGCTGGTCGGGAGCTTTGCCCAGGTAAGCAGTAATCTGGGGAGAAGAACAGGGCCGTGAAAAATACAAGCTACAAGTGCTTTCGTTGTGACTGGTCTGCGCGGGTAGACTAGCTGTCGGTCTTTGGTGAATCTAGACTCGGTCTCTTCTATATCAACAAACAACAAGAAAACAACTTTCAGTGTTTACAGAAATATGCATACTGCATATGTGCCTGTACTATTCATGCGTATGTATGACACACTCGGTTACTTACTCACACTCTCATACCAACACGCAACATATACAAACAACACACGCACACATATATACACAAATGCAAATACGAGTCGGCGATTACTGGGCGGTGTGGCGCGGGTCCATCCTTTTTGTGGCGCTCCCTTCCCCTCGCGGGCTAATTCCCGACAATCCGGGATCAATGGAGCAATCGGGCTGAAATCGGGCCGATTCAAAGAAGGACATCGACATGCGTGAGGCGGCCGCCCCGTCCACGCGGGCCCGCGCCCAGTCACTCGCGCAAATGGTCCGCACGGCCACTTACACACACACACACACACACACACACACACACACACACACACACACACACACACATATATATATATATATATATATATATATATATATATATATATATATATATATATATATATATATATATATATATATATATATATATATATATATGCATATATATACATATAGACTGCCGCGATAGCTCAGTGGTTAGAGCACTGGACTCCGACCCTCGTGGTCCCGGGTTCAATTCCCCGTCGCGGCAGTCGTAAAAATGCCTGCGCCCTGACTACTGGCTCAAGCCCGAGAAAACGACATATCGGCTTGAGAAGTCAGACGCAGGTGTCGTAGGGGAAGTCACCGCCGTGGCACAAGTGTTAACGCGCCGAACCGCGGTTGATTAGGAAGGGCATTCAATCAGGCAAGGGTGAAACCGCCATATAACCTCTCAATACTGAATAGAGAGAGGCCGATATCCTGCAGTGGAATGAATGGCTGTTGAAAAAAAAAATGTGTATATATATATATATGTCAGGGTAGAGACTGATACAATCAGAGATTCTAACCACTGAGCTATCGCAGCAGTCATATATATATATATATATATATATATATATATATATATATATATATATATATATATATATACACACACACACACACACACACACACACACACACACACACACACACACACACACACACACACACACACACACACACACACACACACACATACACACACACACACACACACATATATATATGTATATATATATATATATATATATACATACATATATACACACATATATATGCACACAAACACTGTATTCTAGCCCATAAATCCACTCTTCGAATGAAACTCTGAAAGCGACCCCGAAATCGATCTATACAGCCTGATGTTTAGATCGATTCTACCCTGAAGACCTCCATAACCTACCCTGACCGACCTAGGCGAGGGGAAGCCCTGACCCCCGAGCGAGCCCTAACTGCTTGGCCAACCTCCGGGGCATTCTGAACCGCGCGGACTCGACCCGGGCATCGAGGGTGGCCGGCCGGGCGTCTCGCTTCCAGAACGAGATCATTCGTTGAGCGTCAGTCTCTTGCTGTCTATGCCGAGTGACGTTTCGTTTCAACTTGATGCAAAAAGAACTATTTCCCAGCAAGATGAGCAGCTTTTAGGGCAGGAAGCGGAGCCATCCGTAAGTCAGTCGTCGTTAAGGAACATTCGTGGGCGCTTCTCGGTTCCTCAGGGGAGGGAGTCACGGTCTGACGGGAGGACGCGGAGTCAGGGCAGACCATTTTTCGTGACGTTGAGCTACTTGTTTCGTGAGGAATGTGCGTTAACTGCTACTTTTCACAAAATAGGTTTCTTGCCGTTTTAAGTCTGTTTACTAGTTTCGCAGCGCCCAGTCGGATCCTTACCAGCTGATCTACGGCGCCGGCATTGCACACGAGCCAGTTTTTTGTCGGTTCAACCTGGTGGAAGTGGCAGAGGCAGAGGGAGGCAGACACAGACAATCTGATTTCTTTGAGTAAGTGTTCTTTTCCTCTTCACTTGCTGTTATCTACAACAGTGAACATAAACCTCACGTAAAGCTTAAGCGCTGGTGCCCTCAGATTCCTTCAGGGCAACATGTACATGGGAAGGGATTTTTTTTTCGCCTTTAACGTTTTTAATTCTCCCCTCGTTGCAATTAATTCTGCTTGTGTTGACGACGTCATGCCCGCGTCCAGTTTTGAAGTGATTTGAAACAGTCTGTGGACCCTCGGATGCCTGTCTAACACGTGGGGCGTGCTTATGTCTTATCATTATCATTCTTTTTCTGGTAAATACTTGTCATACATGCGGTTTGTTGAACGAATACTACTTTGAATGGTATACACTCTAAAATAGCAAGTAGCATATGTTAGTTAATTTATCGAATGCGTTTATTCGTAACTGCGTCATCAAGTGCCGAATCAGCTGTACGTACACATACACATATACATACATACATACATACGCACACTCACACACACACACACACACACACACACACACACACACACACACACACACACACACACACACACACACACACACACACACACACACACACACACACACACACACACACACACCGACGCCCACTTACATATACGCCAGCACGGGTGCACTATATATATATATATATATATATATATATATATATATATATATATATATATATATATATATATATATATATATATATATATATATATATGAATATATATATAAATATAAATATATATATATATATATATATATATATATATATATATATATATATATATATATATATATATATATATATATATATATATATATATATATATATATATATATATATATATATATATATATATATATATATATATATATATATATATATATATATATATATATATAGATATATATATAGAGAGAGAGAGAGAGAGAGAGAGAGAGAGAGAGAGAGAGAGAGAGAGAGAGAGAGAGAGAGAGAGAGAGAGAGAGAGAGAGAGAGGGAATTAGGGGAGGGAGGGAGGGAGGAGAGAAAGAGAAAGAGTTAGAGAGAGAGAGAGAGAGAGAGAGAGAGAGAGAGAGAGAGAGAGAGAGAGAGAGAGAGAGAGGAGAGAGAGAGAGAGAGAGAGAGAGAGAGAGAGAGAGAGGAGAGAGAGAGAGAGAGAGAGAGAGAGAGAGAGAGAGGAGGAAAGAATGGAGGGAGAGCGAGAGCGAGTGAGAGAATGGAGAAGATGCAGAAAAGGAGGAAGCGGGAGACTGCAGATAGACAGGTAAATGAGGCCGGCATCTCACGCCTCCCCGTTCGGCCTCTGCGGTCCCTCACCTTTTCGTTCATCGTGTCTAGAGAAACCGGTAGGCCTACAGGCAGCTCCTGACATGACGGATTTTCTGTCTGTGGGGGGACGTTTTCATCTATATATGCTATTGTACATGTACTGTACACCTATCTATCTCTCTCTGACACACACACACACATACACACACACACACACACACACACACACACACACACACACACACACACACACACACACACACACACACACACCGTCGATGATTTGCGGGTTCTCGTGGAGCTCTTGAGATGCAGAACAAACTCCAGAATCATTTTTAACGGGAGAAAATTCTGAAATCCTCATTATGTAACTTTCATCAACGGCAGAAAAAAGATAGACAGTTGATCATCCAGTTTCATTGAGGAAGGTTAAAATAAACGAAAAAAAGGCTTCAGGTGGACGAACTCTTCTGTACAGGATCCAACCCCAATGCACTTCAACTGAAATTCAAACAGAACGCCTATAACCGCAGTCAAGGAGACGTCCCGACGCCTCGAACAGCCACCGACGCGACAAACAAACCCAGCTTCTCGAAGGAACGGAAAAAAGATCACAGCAGAAGAAGCCATTGCTCGGCCTTCATAAATATTCACGGCCAGACGCTCGGCGCACCGAACGATAAGCGAAGGAGCATCAGGGAAACGAGCGCTTAGGGTGAAGGTGTCCGAGCCCCCCCCCCCCCCCTCCTGAGCCACGGGGGGAATAAGGCGACGTCGACGGCGCCGGAGGGCACGCGCGCACAAATCCCAGGCGATGGAGCGACGCGGCAGACGGCGATAAATCTCCCGCGCGAGGACAATGGCCCGCGATGATGGCACTGGGGGGGGAGGGGGAGGTAGTGAGAGAGGGAGAGAGAGAGGGGGGAAAAGCTGACAGTGAGAGGGGAGAAGAGTGGGAGGAAGGGAGGGAGGAAGAGAGAGAGAGAGAGAGAGAGAGAGAGAGAGAGAGAGAGAGAGAGAGAGAGAGAGAGAGAGAGAGAGAGAGAGAGAGAGAGAGATACACAGACAGATAGGTAGGTAAATAGACAGATAGATAGAGGTAATGCTGTATTTACACTATTCCTGCACGCATGCTGACAATCAGGACAGGCAGAAATAGAGATATCTATTCTGAAAACCTATCTACTGACTTCAAGATCGATGAAAAGACAGTTCCATGGATCAAGAAATAAACCTGAACTTCTCCACTGCCGCGTAGCCTTTATAACATGCACTTGGTGTTCAAATCAACATCAAACTACCGCCGACCAAGCAGTAGAGAGCGAATGGTGTCAGAGGCACTCAGGAAACTTCGCAGGAAAAAAAAAGCGAATTTAAGGTTTTAAGGAGACTTCGCGAGAACGGGGCTTGAGACTCACCCAGGAAGGCCGTGGGCGAAATGATGCCCGTCCGCTTGGCCACCACGATGGCTATGCCCGTGTCCAGGAAGGGCACCGTGAAGTCCAGCACCTCCTCCCTCTGTGAATTGATCTTGAACGACGTCATAATCATGTCCGCCTTGCCGTTTATGATGGCTCCCGGGAGGCCGGTCCACTTCCCGTTCTGTGAGGGACAGAGGCTTTCAGTTATTTGACAAATAGTGCACCGAGGATGAGGATGACGGCTGTAGGATGCAAGGTGATGGGTGATGCATTAGTTAGAGGCTGGTGATAATGCAAGGGAAAAAAGAGAGGCAGAAGAAGAGGTACATGAAAGAGAGAGAGAGAGAGAGAGAGAGAGAGAGAGAGAGAGAGAGAGAGAGAGAGAGAGAGAGAGAGAGAGAGAGAGAGAGAGAGACTTACTTAATTTTGGCTGGTTTATGGTTCGTTCTTTCTCCTTCCCTGGATAAGTAAGTAACCATGATTTGCTAAATTGCAACTCACATACACAGTAATATCTAATTCTGTCACACATTCTCACAAAAAGGACATGGCGTAATATATCAGATTTTGCGATCATTCTGTGCCTTTTTAGCCTTTCCATTAAACGTTTCTGAACGCTACTAAAAGGCAAGACAGGTTCAGACCACTCGGAAAGAGGGGCACTTCGAGCGCCCTTCTCAAGACAGGCCAAGTGGGGACAACCCCCTACTCCTCCCCCCTTCCCCGGGCCCCCGTCGAAAGCCCGGTCGAGAGGCGCTCGCGACCTCTCGACGCGTGGAGAGAGGCGTCCCTGGGCGACGGCGGCGTAACCGTAGTCATTATCGGGGGTTATACAAATTCCTATACAAAACTCGTCCTTGCATTTTGCATCTTACATGCAGAAGTAATACAGATTGGTAAGTTCAGAGGAAAATTACCTGCCGTGTAAACTGTATTTTCGAGGCGCGCCCGATCACTAAAGAATTCTCAGCTCCAATCGCGTATATCAACAGAAATCTCCAGAAATGTTCACTAGCAGAACATTTATGATGCAATTCCATCAATAAACAAATTAACGACATCTGGAGGACACTGGATTCCGTTGTAGATATATTCAGAGATGTGTGAAAAAATCGTTGCTAGCCATATATTTTTCTTAGATTTAGATAAATTTCTAGAAGGCGGTTATTGTGCTATTTATTATTCGCATTTCGTCGCTGGAGACATGGAGTAGCAGCGCATCAGCGATATTTCATCCATATAGAAAGCTGACTCTCATTTTTCAGCATCGTAGAACATCGGTTCCATCTCGCAAATAAGTCAATAGAGCGTCGGTTCCTCAAAACCTTCTTCGACGCACTACGTAGCAGCCTCAATCTCGCTGCCCCCGGGGAGAATGTGGGCGGCTAATTTCCCCAGGGCTGCTCCCCGCCCTCCGCCAGCCAGGGCGTGCCTTCAGCGCGCCACGCCCATCCTGTCACGCCCCCCCCCTCCCTGCCCCCTTCCAACTCCACCGTGCGAAACGGGAACACGGAAGGGGACACATTCGCCAATTGTATGTGTACACATATCCAGAAAAAAAAAAAATTATAGTATATGTATAAATGCATACATACATAAATGCATACATACATACATACATACATACACACACACACACACACACACACACACACACACACACACACATACACACACACATATATATATATATATATATATATATATATATATATATATATATATATATATATATATATATATATAATCTAAATAAATCACACAGTAAAGACACAGTGGATACGCCTCGCATGATTGAAGCAGCGACGAACATCCAAAATCCTGTCCGTTTTTCTTGTCTCCTCGATCTACATTACAGTAGCAACTTGTTGCTAGTGTAATGCTCGACTCTCTCTCTCTCTCTCTCTCTCTCTCTCTCTCTCTCTCTCTCTCTCTCTCTCTCTCTCTCTCTCTCTCTCTCCCCCTCTCTCTATTTCTGTTTCCCCCCCCTTTCCCTCCCTCCCCCTCTGGGCACTCGTCGTGAGCCCTTCTTGCCAGGACTTCCGGCCGAGCCGACGGAGCCATCGATTCGCCGAGGGACGAGCGATTAGTCGCGCGAAGAGGGCCGCTTACAGAACAGGAGCTGTCGGACGGAAGGGGGGCGGGGGGAGTGAGGGAGGGGAAGGGGGAGGGGAGAGGAAGGATTGAGGGGGAGAGGAAGGGCGAGGGGCGGGGTGGGGGGTGGATAAAGGGCGGCTGATGGAGGGAAGATAATAGCGGCTAAGCAGGAGGGAGAAGGAGCTGACAGCGAATGTGATGACCAATAACACGGTAGCAAAGTACGAGAAATAAAGATAACAAATAAGATAACATATTTACCGCAATTAGATTACAAGATAAAAAAAAAAAAACTAGATGGCAAATAACAAGTTGTCAAGTTATGATAACAAACAAAATGGCCCCCAAAAATCTCATACGAAATAACTAAGTCAACATAACATTATAATAATAATGAATGGGAAAGAAACAAATTAATCAAACAAGTAAACAAGTGACAACAAAGCAAATAACAAGAGACAAACAACAGGTAGCGAAAAAAAAAAACAAGAAAGAGCGACCAGGAGGCGAGACAAAGGCAGCTGGTCAAGAGCACCCGAAGCGCCTTTCCCTTCCGACGCGCGGCGGGAGGGCGGCAGAAGGGACTGACGCTGCGAAGGGCAGCGGCGCCAACGGGGAGGCGTCAGAGCAGCGCCAGAGGGAGGGAGGGAGGGGGGGGATCTCTCGAGGGAGGCCACGGCGGCGCGAACGAGGCTCGGAGGGCGGCCCTAATGACCCTTGGCTGACCTCGCCGGACGGACCTTAACGAAACACGGACAGTGACACCCCAGTGACACACACACACACATGTACGTATGTATGTATGGATGTATACACATATACACAGTGTATATATTACATATATATATATATATAAATATATATATATATATATATATATATATATATATATATATATATATATATATATATATATATATATATATGTATATATATATATATATATATATATATATATATATATATATATATATATATATATATATATATATATATATATATATATATATATATTAAGTGACTGATTGTGTGTACGCTTCGGCCAGCACAGAGCGGGCACTGCGGGCGCGATTCCCGGGCGGCCTCTGGCCCTGGCCCGGGCGTTTCGCTCGAGTCATCAGAGACTAATTACCTCCTCGGGGCCTGCGCCACGCCCGGACGCAAACAGGAAGGGGGCGCGTCCCTTCCTTGTACTCCCTGGCGATGCATACGCTTACATCCTGAGGCCTTCCCTCGGCTTGCGATTCGACGAAACACTCGATCCTCCTCCGCGCACGGCGCCTTCCGGTCGAGGGGCTTGCTGTGCTCAGGCTCACGATCAGCGGGAGGAAGGGTGTGCGCGCTTGGGAAGAGGGAAGTATGCATAATCCCGCACCCACATAACTTCTATGAAATCTACATTTGCCTGAATCTATTACATTTTTTTTTTACAGAAAAGAATCTGAAATCAAGACAACAAAATAAATCGAAAAGGACTCTGCCAGCGCCCCCTCAGTCCTGCCCCTTTCCCTTCCTGTCACGATAATGCCACCGGAATGGGCCATAAAGTGGCACAACACGATGTATCATGGCCACGTCAGTCTTATGAGGTTCTTGGACTCACAGTACTTTGTCTCACCCAGATGCCACTAATGCCTGTTCTTCTGCCGCTGGAGATATTTGCCTCGGCGGCTTTACTATTTGTATGCCGGCTCTACGAGGCATATCCTCTAACAGAACTACGTTTGCTTATTTCTTGGCGCCATCTTTTATTCCAGGCGGCACTCTCATTCACAGAGTCTATATTTTCTTACATGTAGGTCTCTTCGCCGCCCACATAGTGCATATTACCACATAAACATCTACATGACATTTTTTTCCCAACGAGGCCTATCGCAGCCGCTGTGTGCTGACGAGGACTCAGTCAAGGTCAAAATATCTTCACTGTTTCCTCCATTCTCCCGCCGCCGCCTCCTCGGGGCTCTGAGTCAGTGGCTGCTCCACGCAACTAAAGGAAACAAGTCTTAATTAGCAATATTCTCCCGATCCTTAATTTTACTATTCAGCGTTCGAAAGGAGCCATCTGCGAAGGAGGCGAATTGATAGATAGACAGAGAGAGAGACGGAGGAGTGGGGGGAAGAAGGAGAGAGGAAGAGACACACACACACACACACCTACACACACACACACACACACACACACACACACACACACACACACACACACACACACACACACACACACACACACACACACACACACACACACACACACACATGTATATACAGAGAGAGAGAGAGAGAGAGAGAGAGAGAGAGAGAGAGAGAGAGAGAGAGAGAGAGAGAGAGAGAGAGAGAGAGAGAGAGAGAGAGAGAGAGAGAGCAGGCGCCCATGAGAGAATTCCCGTGAGAGCCGAGCACGGGCGCCTGTATCACCTTGAAGGCGCATGGAGATCATAATGACCGCGGCGGCGTTCCTTTCCGAGCATAAATACCGAGGGATGAAGAAGCTGCGCGTAATCTGGATGTAATTTTTCCGTCAAAGGAAACGGCTCCTCATCTCAGAAATGATTGAAATACTCTGGACTCCATTTCAAAACATACAGGTACAGATTTTTTTTGCATCATCTTAACCCAATTGGCACGGATGGCAAGAATGCATGCCATGCCTACTGTAATAAAAGTTTATTTATTGTATTTACACAGATAGCTCCACAAATGCTCAATCACCAAGGAGTCAGTTATAAGTCCTATCTATCTCACCTGTTTATCCTTTTCCTTGACTTTTGCAAAGGATCTTTTGTACTAATTCATTGTCTTAAATGTTACCAAAATTTTAAAAACAATTAAATAATGATATCATCAATAACAATAATAAGTTCTGATATCAAATGTATTAAAAAGATACATTTTCCCGTCAATTCAAGGAATGAGGAAATCAGGATCTGTCACTAAGGCCTACTTAGAGATTCTTTGCCGGCTGGGGAGCCATCTGTATGTAACAAAATTCTCTCTCCATTATATTCCATAAATAGGTGGTGGTTGGGTTAAGCCACCGCTATACCTTAGCCAGCGCATAAAAAAAAATAATAATAATAATACAAA